GAATAAATAAGGATCAAAATGTATAATAGATATTGAGAAATGGGAAGAAAAAATGTTCAAATGAGGTCAATGGTATAGGGAGAAGAAAGAGACAAGAAAAAATAAAAAGAAAAAATGGAAACAAAGCTTTTGTAAATAAGGGGGGGGAAGGGTTGCACAGAGGAGAGGACAACAGGGAAAAAGCAGCAGCAAGACGTATCATGCACAGGCACAGACTCCCCATGAGAGTGCTATCATTATGCATATCTACAGTATGCAAATCAAAATGTGAAAAAACCAAACAGCCAGCTGTACCACTCATGTGAGACACAATTTAAATAGAAGTGTTCAGAAAGGTAGAGTACAGGACAGGGCTGGGGAATTTAACTCAGCAGCCTACGGGCCTGGCTGGCAAGCGCAAGGTCATGAGTTTGATCCTCAGTACGAAAAAAAAGAAAGAAAAGGAAAGTAGAGGACAGAAAACTATATACCTTCCAATACTACCTACAAGGAAGCAATATAATTATAATATCACACAAAGTAAATTTTAAGTGAAGAAGCATTATTTAAAAACAAAAAGGTATATCATAATGATAAAAAAGATAAACACAGTTGAAAGCAGTAACAACTTTACATTGGTAATATTAGCAACATAAAGCAAACACAGACAAAATCAAAAGGGAAAATAGGTAAATCCAGAATCAGAAGCTGTACTTGTAACTTTCTAACTGGACAAAGGAAAAAGAATCTTTTCCTTGTTTTTTCTTGTATTCTTTTTCTCTTTTAGATTATGAAATGCATACTATATAAAAAGTGTATATAAGCCTATTAGCTCAGCATTCTAGGAGGCTGAGGCAGGAGGATCATATGTTAAAGCCCAACCTGAGTAACTCAGTGACTTAGTGTGACCACCAACTAAAAATAAAACATAGCAAGGGTTGGAGAATTCAGCTCAGTGCAAAGGCCCTGGATTCAATCTCTATTACCACCCAAAAAAGTCTACATAATGCATAGATATAAACTATGAGTATAAGATGAAAACCCATGTGCCCATGATTCACTTTAAGAACACCATCACCAGAACCTCAAAGTGCCTTGTGGCTGGGTTTGGTGGTGCTCGCCTATAATCCCATTCCTTGGGAGGCTGAGGCAGAAGATCATCATGAGTTTAAGGATAGCCTGGGGTACATAGTGAGTTCAGGAACTACAATAGTAAGACTCTGTTTCAAACCACACACCCCAAAAAAGTGCCCCACAGCTGCTCCCTTATCCAATCCCCTATTCTCCCTGTATATAAATAAATACAGTTTCAAAACTGTCTGTTAATCATCTTACTTTTCTTTATGACTTCTATACATGTATATCACCCCCCAAATATGGTTAATTTTACCTGACTTTGGAATTTAAACAAGTAGAATCACCCTGGGCACACAGAGTCTGTAACTTATTTTCTCTTGGTATTTGCTGCCAACTTTTCAAACTAAAAACAATTATAAACAAAGCTTCTCTGGAAATCTGTATGTATGCATTTGGGATAACATTTATGATAATTTTTAATTTATAACTGAAATTGTCAGGCCACAAAGAACATTTTGGGCAGGGAGTGTAACTCAGTAGTAAAGCCTGAGCTTAGCAGGCTGGAGTTCAATCTCCAGCACGGGGGGGGGGGGGGGGGGAGAATGAATTTTCAAGGCTTTGGAGACATACTAATAATTTCCCTCCAGAGATGTTACAGAGTGTTTCTACTGTGTCCCCTTGCCAACAATGAGCTGTAGCACTTTAAAAATTTAGTAACGTGTTCCCAAAATAGCAATATGCTTCAATTTTGCCCTGTTTCAACAACATGGGAGGTTGGGCAATTTCCCCCATGTAGAGTCTGTCTCTGTTTGTACTTCTGTCATTAAGTGGAGATTTCATAGCTCTGTCCAGCCGTAGCTCCTTTTTCTCAGAGGATGTGAATTTCTCTCTGAAGGGCAGGCAACTTCTTCCTCCTCTGGGTGATACTGAATGTGCTACAAAGGGACCCAGCCCCAGTGCTGCCCAATAGAAATATAATGTAAGCCAAATATGTCATTTTACACCTTCTAATAGCCAGTTTTTAAAAATAGGTGGAGGTTATAGTATCTTTTATTAATTCAATAAATTCTAGACACTATTACGGGAGCATGCCTCTATACAGTTTTTGTTTCGTGATGCGAATGGAACCCAGGGGATCACATATGCCAGGCAAACGCTCTACCATACCCAGCCCTACAAAATTATTAGGCGATTTTGCTTTTCCTCACACTAAAGTCTTCAGAACCCAGCATGTGTTTTAAACTCAGAGACTCCCTCAAATAGGACTAGCCATGTTTCAAGCAGCCACATATGACTAATGGTTACTATGAAGAACAGTATAGGCCTGAACTACTCAAGAATCCCCACCGAGTTCTAACAGTTTGTCACGATTCAAAATTGCAGGTCTTGGCTGTGTTTCTCAAACCTGGCTGGGCATGTCAATCTCCTGGGTTTTTGTCAGGTTACATGTTCTGATTTAGTAGGTCTTGATAGGGCCAAAATTCTGCATTTTGACAGTGTCTCAACTGTCAGCAAGCAAACCCCACATTTTGAGGTGTGGGGTACAGAGCAATGGTTTTGAAGGAGGCAGGCCTTTCCATGGGAGTCAACAATTTCTGTCAATGAAAACATTATGTTTTGTCTGCATCTACTTTATCACCATACGTAGCACCATGTGTTTCTGGCTCTTCCTCAAAGTTAAACGACCATGATGGATAAATGTTTTGAATGGATTCAGAACATCAAGGCAGCAATAACAGAACAACTAAAGATAGTCATGAAAGAGGACTTCCAGAACTACTTCAGAAAGAGGCAAGAATAATGGGATAAATATTCTTAAGGAGTGAGGGAATATTTTAAGGAGAATTAATGACAATGAACTGTGGTCAGAGGCAAGTGACTTTCTGAGCCTAGTACCATTTTACATAAAAACGTGACACCTTGATGTCACATTGTCTAAAGGATTGTCTCTACATCACATCTGCAAGAGCTAGAATGTGACCTGGAAGTTGATTCCCAGGAGTTCCACTACACATTAGATTAGTAAAATAATTAACATCTATTTCCCTGGTGAAATCTCTGAAGCTTGAGTCTCTGCGGTTATCTAAGGTCATATAATAAGAGAAGGAACCATGATCATAAATGTTTATGTTGCCTCCAAAGTTTATGTGCTGAAATGCAATCACTGATGTGATAGTGTTATCAGGTGGGGCCTTTAGGAAGTGACTAAGTCATGGGACTGCAGCCCTATGAATAGTTGTAAGTCCTTTATAAAAGAGGCATCCTGCAGGACTTGGGACCCTGGTCCCTCTATCTTCACCATAACCTGAGAATACCTAGACAGAGCCATCTATAAGAAATTGGTCTTCACTAGACACCAATCCTACCAGGGTCTTGATCTCAGACCCATATCCTCCAAAACCATGAGAAATAAATTTCTCCCACCTATAAATTACCGAGTCCATGTGAAGTGTTACAGTAGTTCAACCAAAGTAAGCCAACTGTTAACTGAGGCCTCACAACCCTCATCCAAGGTGCCATCTACCATACAATATATCACAAAAAAGTAGCACTCAATGTTTTGAAATTAATGAAGTAGATAAAAATGCCTGTCTATAAAGACAGAGGAGATTAAAAATATCATAAAGCAATCTTGAAACAAAAAAATAAAAGACATACTACCCAATTTTAAGACTCACTAAAAAGTTAAACAAGACAATGTGGTCTTGACATAAATATAGAACTAGAGATTGGTGGAACAAAAGAGAGAGGCCAGGAGATCTGAATTTAATAAAAAATGTCAAAGACACTGGAGAAAACAAAAGCAATACTAGGTAACTAAATATCATATTTAAAAATTACCCTCAGGGTCCCCTTCTGTCTTAGATAAAAACTTCCATGCTTTGATCTTGGTGCACTGGTCATCTAGCAGGTTGGGAGTTACAATATTTCCCTTATATTACTTGGATTATTTGGGGATCGTATATTATGCCTTATCATTTTGGAGGTCCTGAGACAGCTGGATGGAGGTAAGAGTTATGCTTTTGTTTCATAGATTCTGGCTTATGGTTCACTTGGGTAAACAACACTGTCATCTCTGGTTTTTATGTCTTGGTTTTTTGTTTTTTGAAACAGGATTATGTAGCACAGGCTGGCCTCAAACTCATAGCGATCCTGCTGCCTCCGCCTCCTGAGTACGGGGATTACAGGTGTGTCCCACCACACCCAACCTGTCATCCTTGTTTATCAATCACTTATCTCCTCAATTTTCTTATTTTTGTCAGTTGGGTATGCTTTGAATTTTATGCCTTTATGAGTTGCTTGTCCTTTGTGTCCTTTATGCATTTTCCTTTGTTAAGGTAAATATATTTTTCCCACTTGTTACTTATGAGAGGCATTAAAAGGATTAATAGATAAAAGCTTATAAAATCTCATTTATGTGACCTGTTAAAAGAAAAACTAGCCTCAACCTCTAGCTTATATGATTAATAAAAGAACTTATAAATTGATACATGACCATAAAGTTTTGAGTTTCATTAGGCTTCTAACTAGATTAAAACAGGAAATTATCTTCATGACCTGTGAATAAATAGGATATATTTTGATAAACAAGACCATCAAAATTAAAACCTTCTTATTAAAAAATCACATTATTTTATTACTCTCCGTATGTATGAAAATGTTCACAGTAAATTATTGGGGAAAAAAACTCCCTCAAAGTATAGTGAAGCTCTCCCCAGCTTCCAGTCTACCTGAATTCTTATGGTCAGGCTCCTGTTTATCTCACAACAGTTCATTCCTACTAATGCAGTATGGGTTTTTTGTTCAGTCGGTTTATTTTTAGTGTTGGGAAATGAACTCATGGCCTAAAGTGGGCTAAGCACATTCACTGTCAACTGAACTACATCCTCAGTGTGATGTCTTGATGATCATGCCTGTGTCCACAGTCCTGGGACAACACTTACATGTCTCATGCCTCCAGAGAACAAGGTGGTGGGAGTTGAAATGGATGGAAGAATCTTTTGCTTCAATACAGGGCCAGTTGAGTGTTTGGGATCTTCTTGATGGAGAAATTTTAGAATATCTGGTGTGCTGACCTTCTGGAGCAGAAAAAACAAAATTGCTGTTATATACTTCACCCCCACTTGACTTGGCTCAGCACGCACTGTCTATATCTACTATTTGATGCAAAATTCTAGAAGCTGAATAGGAGGACACACTTGTGTTTGGGTAAATGCATACACACACACCCACAGAGCCCAGAGGCAGGCATCATCAAGCTTTGGGATATCCATGAATGTTACTGGGTGGGTTACTTATGGAGTAGTTGGCATTTCTTCTATAATGTTTAGTGATGCTTTTCAGTAGCCACTAGTCATGTGAAGTTATTTAAGTTTAAATTCAAATTAATTGAAACAAAATTAATAAACCCTGTTCTTCAGTAAAATCAATAAAAATCATTTTTAAAGAAAAGAATGGAAACCTGGTCAACCATGTCCAACAGGGCAAAGCAGTAAGAAGGTGGTGACTGAAAAGCAGGCCCTCCAGGAGATCCCAGGGCTTCCCAGAGAACTTCCCTACTGGTGAGGGGAAAGGGTTGACTGCCAAGAAGTCAGAAAGGAGAGGGAGAGAGGGAGAGCAAGGGACGAAGGGAGAAGACTCTGAGAATATTGGCCCCGAAAATCACAGAAGAGCAGCTGCACGAGGAACACTGCAAAGAGTTGTCTTGTTTTGAAGGTGAGAGAAAGTGATGGGAGACATTAAAGGTGCGAGTGAATGGAGGAAACTCCACGGAAAGGAGTCAAAGAAATGCCAAGCGGGCCACAGAGGCTAACACAGGCTTCTGCTTAGGAGGGCCTTTGGGAATGCCATACAAGGACAGTAATCTGCAGTCAGACAGGGACAGAAAGAATGAAACAGAGCTTTGTACCTCAGAGGTGTTTACCATGCACTGAATTGTGTCCCCAGAATCCATGTGTTGAGTCCTTAACTCCCCAAATGGTATTTGGAGATGGTAACTTAGGAGATAATTAGGGTTAGAAGAGGTCATAATGAGGGAACTTGCTAGAAACATTAGGATTCATGTTCTTCTGAGAAAAGAAAATGGAGAGATCCCTCCCCACTTGCCCCTCCTGACATGTGAGGACTCTGTAAAATGGCAGACATAAGTCAGAAAGAGAGCCCTGAACATTCCAGACCCTGATCTCAGACTTGTAGCCTCCAAAATGTGGGAAAACAAATGTCAGTGATGGAAACCAGCCAGTCTATGGTATTATGGCAGCTAAAGCTAACCAATACACTATTCAGTATACATTTTAAAAATGTTTCGAATCATTAAAATGTGAAGAAACAAAGTTCTATTTAGAGAGAGAGAGAGAGAGAGAGAGAGAGAGAGAGAGAGATAACTTTGTTTATAATAGAGATTAGAGGGTACACCAAGTTCATGGCCAGGGAAGACTTTCTTAAAAAGGCAGGACTCAGGAAAGCTTTAATGAAATTTAACTGCAAATGTGAATATTTCAAGATAAGAAGAGTGGCTACTATTGTAAAGGACTCTTGACTAAGGAATCCAAGTAGAAATTTTGTGTTCAACTTTTCCCCTAGTAAACTCCTAAGAACTTGGATGACACTTCAGAATTCAGTGCCCTATTAAAGAGCATCTCCCACAGTGCTCCCCCTGTGATTTTTAATGTAAATCAGTGACTATCTAGTTTTGCTCAGTTTACACAGGAGAGTGCTTGCCCTGAATGAGGTCTGTTCTACTGTATTATGATTAACATTGTTCAGGGAAAGATCAGTAAACATTGTTTCATTTGATCAAATTGTGGCCTTTCTGGAACCAGTAATTACATTTGGGATTTTTGCTGACAGTAGCTATGAACATAGGAGATCAGAGAAGGAAGAGCAGCTGTTCCCACCTGGAGACTTCATCTTGGAGTTGCCTCTTAACATAAATACAGACTCAGCTGCAGAAAGCACTAGAGCGTGCTGCTGGGAGCAAGAGCAGAGCCCAGCTAGAAAGCAGACGCAGCTCCTGTAATCACTGGAGCGAGCACTGCCCTGCAACCTGAGGTCTTTCACAGTTGGGAAACAACTTGGACCTCGCTTCTTATCTTGCCCTCTACCATCCTTTGGGAAATGGCCAGCTGACGGGGTGACAAGCTGTGTTGGGAAGGTCAAATACAAAGTGAGTTGTTTCTTTAGATTTCAGCTGTCAGTGGGAAAAGCTTCATGAGTACAAAGAAAACTGAATGAATTTAAGTCATTTATTTCCACCTCTGCTCTCAGATCCCTTTTCTACTCCTAATAGCTTTTCATGCATCTCCCTGTTTAACTGGTGTATAGCTTATGGCCCAAGTTGATCAAGTACACATGCATAAGATGTACAATAAAACCCACTGGACAGCTAGGTATAGTGGCATATATTCTGGAAGGCTGAAGCAGGAGGATCACAAGTTCATCCTTGGTCTGGGCAACTTAGCAAGACCCTGCCTCAAAATATCTTTTTTAAAAAATTTAATGGATGGAGTGGGAATATACCTCAGCGCAAAGGACCAGAGTTCAATCTCCAGAACTGCAAAAATAAAACAAAACACAGGAATACCCATGCAAAAGGTGAAAAGAATTTACTTGAATCCTGGACCAGAGGGATGGGTCAAAATATATTCACTAAAACACACACACACATACACACACACATTCACACACAACACACATGAAACTAGCAGGGTTGGTAAGAAGTGGTGAAAATAATTAAGATCTGTTATGTGCATGCATGAGCCTGCCAAAAATGAAACCAATTAATCTGCATATCCAATACACCCTACATAAAAAATGTGTGAAAAAATATTTAAAACGAAATCCTTGTCCAGATATTCCAGTGAAGACTTCTGCAAGAACATTTTCAAACTTAATGGTCACAGAAGTGATGTGGAGATCAGAGCTGTCTACCCAGTTGCCATCCCTGAGTCACCACATGGCTTTAAGGTGCTTAGGTGAGGTGGGTGTGGGGCACATGTCTACAGGCCATCAGGAGGCTGAAGTAGGAAGAACACCTGAGACCAGGAGTTCAAGACCAACTTTGGCAATGTAGCAAGATGTTACTTAAAACTAAAAAAGGAGGAGGAGAAGAAAATTATCTTCTATTTCTGTTCTTTAATGTAGCCCCCACAAGAGGGACACTGATGACCCCACTCCCAAAGGCTCTGTGCTAAATCATTCATATTGGCACAGTAACCCAAAGGGTTCTGATAAAAGTGAGCACACTTTTCACAAGCTCACCAGCCAAGACAGGTGGAAGGGCAGTCTGACACATGTCCTATTTAAAGATCTCTTTCTTATGTCTCAGCCTACTAATTCCTTTGCTCTTATAGATCTTGCCATAATCGCTGAGTACTTTGTAAACATTTGGCTACTCTGGCTCTCAAAACAGCCATGTCCTCAATTAAGGTGGAGAGAGAAGGCGGCAAGGGCTGTGTGTCTGTCCAAGAGCCAGGAACCAGCAGGTGCACTGTAGGTCTCCGTGGTAGAGTTCTTTACCTGCAGGCCTTGCTCCACCCTGAGCACAGCTGTTCCACAGGCACTGTGGCAGGGCGGTCTGCACCAGGGACACTAGCTCAGGGCAATAACTTTTTGCAGTGCAAAACCCAAGCCCACAGGTACTTGGACTGTGAATATCACAACACAAACAGATGCATCGCCTCTCATAGCAGCACTCGTGGGAAGGTGATTTCTGGCCACGTTGCTCCCTTGTTATCTCTTTGCCCAATGTCCTCATATTTAATGGGCACAATAACAGTACAACCTTTGCAGGATTGTTTTCAGGGTTTCAAAGGTTAAATCCTGATGAGGGCTCCCCACACTAGTAAGAGCTGGTGCAGCCAAGTCCAAGGTCAATGCTGACATCAGAATGGCTTCATCTGATGCAGTAAGAGAAATATTCACACTTCTAGAACTCCTTTCCCTAACCTTTCTTTGGTAGTCCTAATTTGTATAAATGTTGAGCATAAAATGAAGTTATGACTTTAGAGTTATTTAAAATCACATCCCAACAAAGCTCAGCTCTTGGCTCCATCCTTTTTTAGCTATGAGCTGCTGGATGTTTAACCTCAGTAAAATGCAGGATTGTATCATGTATCATGGGAGCAAGAATACCTATCTCTGTCTATTTTTAAGAATTAAACATGAAGTATTTTTGAAGGGCTGCTATCATGGCCAGATCATAGTGCCTCAGAAATGGACACTAACCCTCTCTTCTGTCTACTTGAGCAAGGGAGTAGATTGTAAGGAAGCCAACATGAGCTATTGTTTATTTGCTGTTTTTCATTTTGTTTTGGTTTGTTTTGTTGTCTTGTTTTGCCTTGAGACAGGGTCTCGCTTTGTAAAGCAGGCTGGCCTTGAATTCATGGCAATTTTCCTGCCTCAGCCCCCAGGATGCTGGGATTTAGGCATGTGCCACCAACCCTGGCTATTTGCTCTTTAGAATCTCAGAGATCTGGAAAATACACTTCAAATGCACCAGGGGAGCTTGCTGCCCCACCAGCACCAGCATCCCTTGATCCCCCAGAGCTCAACAAAATTGCATCTGATGCCCCATCTCATGCCCACCCAGCCCAACTGATGGGCAGTCTGCATTTCGAAGCGTCTCATCCAGTCACACATGAAGCTGAGAGTCACTGCTCTGAGCTCATCTCCAAGCCATGTTGGGGTTATTTCAAATGCAGTCCTCCCCTCTTCTGTCTGTGAATGTGGCTTTACCTCTCTGAGCTTCCATATCTCCAAAATCTAAAAATGTGATCAACAATACCTACCTCTTGGGTGGTTATACAAATAAACTGAGATGGTCCAGGAAGAGCTCTTTGTACAGAGTCTGGTTTATGACAATAAATGCTAGCAATTTACAGAGTATATGCAGATCACAAATTAGATAATATTGAAGTCTTGAAAGCTTGTGCAGCTGTTCTAGCCAGAGTGGGCAGGCCTTACACCCTCACCTAAAGGACAGTCTGTCTTGAGATCCCTAAGTACACAGAGAAGGGACACAGGTGCTAGCCTCTGCGCAGCCAGGTCACCTCTGTGACCCAAGTCTTCTGAGCCCCAACTCTGCTCTCTTGTGCCCAGTGCGCTTGCTTCCAGTGTGGTTAAACACGGTGAGGAGCAGAGTGTTACTTCCCTAAAAGCCCGCCTTAGGTGAACTCTGAGTATACAGTGCTCACGCTTTTCATAGTTTTCCTCTAAGACCAGGACAGATTTTATCCAAAGTCTGTTGGCCTTAAGCGAAGTAGGAAGGCCTTTTAAGGTGAGTAGGGGATTTACAGACCCTCAGAATAATGGCAAGTGTTGGCTCCTACAGGTAAATTGTTAGATGTTGGCGTGGCCTTGAAGTCTCAGGGATGCAGGATCATGATAAAGTCTGACCCTGTTCTCAGTGCTTTTCCAAGTTGGTCCTGAATTTTGAGGTTGGAGGAGGTCATTTGCCCAGGCTGACCTTAAACTCCTGGATTTAAGTGATTCCTCCTGCCTCGGTTTCCAAGTAGCTGCGACTACAAGTGTGTACCACTACACCTGGCATTAATCTTAAAATTCTGCCCCTCCTCAGGTCAGGCCTGCCTAAACATAGGAGCTTATCGGTATGTTTTTCTGATTCCTTAATGTTTTACAATGAGAGGAAAAGTAAATCACAGAGAAAACACTGGAAAGCTTTGGAAAGCAGAATAAAGGGGTCGGTGCAGAGGCCAGGCAAGCCTCGGGTACCCTGGTGGTGACGTTGACAGCAGTGTCTGACTGGCTCCGTCTCTCCTTCTGGCCTGCACACTGCCTGGGGCTCGTGGCTAGAAGATGCTTCTCAGAGGTCATGTCATTCTGGGACTTGGAAAGCTCTAAAAAACAAACACAAGATTGACAGCCAGGAGCACACAGCTTTGCTGAAGCCTGCAGAGGCTCTTCTGGGATTCCCTGCAATCCACAGGCCCAACAAGCCAAGAGGGCAATGCTGACAGAAGGCCAAGGTCACGAGGACACCCAGAGGGCGACCAGGCACTGGCTGTTGGACATGGGGTAGGAGAGGGGCTGGATTCCTTCAAGCCCCCCCACCCACATATGTCTCTGAGGGCAGAGCATGGCAGGGTGGGAGTTGAAAAGAAGCCCCCAACTTCCCCTGCAATCCGGGTCATTTGAGTAAGTATTTGCTTGTCCAGATATAAAAATGGCCACCCCCAAGCCAGCCAGTCAGCTTTTCAGATGTTCCTGATGACAATTTTAAGACTAAGTACCATTCCTTGTGATTTTTAGGGTAAAAGTAAGATTGGAAGTATCTTTATAACTATTTTAGTAAGTATACCCTGAGAAGATGACTTCATTTTTTTCTGTTTCTGCGAAATGGCAATCTTGAGAAAAAAGATGACTAAAGTGTGAAAGAAGGAACCACACGAAAGAAGTAACAGAGGTGGATCTCAAGTGGGCCCTTCCTCCAGGAGGCCTCCTCGCAACTGTGGGTCTTAACATTGTCACTAACACAGCACTGCTACCTGCTCAGGGACATCATTCAACCTACATATGTAATGCTGTTTTTTAGCACCCACATTAAGTAAACAGGTGGCATTAATTAATTCTCTATTTCATATAATATATCTAAAACGTTATCAAGCAAATAACCAGTATTACAGTTATGAAAAAATCAAGATGTGATGTGTAGGCACCAATACACTACAATGAATGTATTGATTCTGTACTGCAAACATATACTAATAAGAAATTTGAAAACTACTGTAGTTCTCTGTGGAATCATTTTTTAAAAAACACCCAGTTTCTGAATCTGATACACAGCTAACCCCAGGAGCTCATCTGTGGCTTCATTTCAGGGGCTCAGGACCAACGTGTGGCTATGAATTACTGCAAGGAACAGTGTGGCTCCAGGCCAGCCCTTTGACTCAGGCCCCCTAACTGAGGTGTCGCAGTATGAATCTCTAAGGCTTTGCTCTTTCTGAGCTCTCTCCTGCCTGCACTGCTGGGGGAGACTTAGAGATCTCTTCCCAGAGAGAAGACCTGTACCTGCTCCCCAGTCCTTGGGGCACCCACCTACCGCCTCACCTCCCAGTCTCTCCTCTATGAGGGCCACACCACCCCTGTATTTTCAGGTCTGCCATCCAGAGTGTCTCGGGGAATCTCCCTGTGGCTGGCAGCAGGAAGGGACAAGCTCCAGCTGATGACCTCAGTAACCTCCTGAATCTGGCTGTGGAGAATATGACAGGGTCCAGTTTGCACATCCTCAGGAGATGGGCTATTCTCACAGCTGAACACTAAAGCCTGTGCCTATTTGGTCCCTTTCAAGGTCACAGACTGAGGATGAATGAGGGTTTCTCAAGTGGGTTTACAGATCAGCACAATGTGGGGAGGGGTGGGAACAGAAAAAAACACAGGTCACTCCTGAACAATAATCAACATCCTCTTTCCTGTCTATGGAGGACTATCACACTGCCACCCCTAGCAATTAGCAATTATAAAAAGGGCTGGAATGATGCCTCTCTTCCAGCTGGTTTGGGAAACACTGGCAGCCAAAAGTTGTAATTCTGGGTTGGCTCTCTCAATCCCTGATGGGCAAGGCCTCCTTCCAGCCTCCTGGGTCACTGGTCTAGAAAGAAGCTGGGGCCCTTCCCAGATCCTCCCTAAGAGCCCCAGGTGCCAGTCTGATTTCCTCCCCAAAAAGTAGGGACCCCTCCATACCCACTTCTGTAGGGAAACGGAAAAGCAGAACATAAGGGTCAGGTAGAATCACTCAAAACCTGAAGGAATGAGAATCGGTGCCTCCAGGATGGCATATGCCTGGACAGAGACACAGTGAAGGGCAGCGTGCTGGCCATGGCGAGCCACATACCCCATCCCTGCGGAACCAGCAGGAAGCTCTCAGAAAGGCATATGGCCATTCCCAGGAGCCAGAAAGCTGGTTTCCTGCTATCCCTCCCTCTGTTTAGTAACTGGGAGCACACATTCAGGAGGGCGAGTGGTGCGGTGACCCAAGTGTCCTGCCCTTTTGGATTTCTGGGGCTGAGGTGTCTCACAGTTTCGTAAACTTTAAGGCACTGACAGCGCAGTAGCAATGGAGAGATGGGATTTTCAATAAGCATGAGAATTTTGGGAAAGGGGTGCGCCTAGAAAGATGCAAAGAAGGTCCAACTAGAAGACTGTGGGAAGAGAGCCAGCTCTGCAGTGCACGGGCAGCTGTTCCAGCCAGCCTGATGGACACAGGGTAGGAAAGAGAGGAGTGATTTTTACCCTCCCCAGACGCTGCTCATAAACCAGCCCAAACAATTCGGCTGCTTCCCCCTTCTGACAGCAAAAGGGACAGGCTGTGGCATGAGATAGTGGCTGTTGCAGCTTATCTGAACAATAGGGCTTTAATTTCAATTGTCTTGGGGCAGCTTCAACAGGGCTTGTGCAGAATACAGATGAGCAATTAAAATCAAATCATAAGGTTGTCTCGGAGCCAGTGTACCACAATGAGCCCATCCATATGCAACAGCAAAAAAGGGGATGATGACTAGAAATTAAACAGAAGTGCAAAGAAAGAGAAATGGATGTCCAAAGACCCCTGAGGTCATTAATGACATTTCCTAAGTCCCTGATCAGCCCTGCATGTCTAAGGAGGCAGAAGGGGCCAATCTTCTAGGACATGCATTTTAAGATAAACAGGAAAAAAATGTATCTGAGCCGAAGAAACACTGAAAGAGACAGGATTCCAAGCGGTGGCTCTGGGTTACCTGCATCTGCAAATTGCAGGATTATTGCAAACTGAAGAAAATGAACTTATCAAGGAGAAACAGAGGCAAATAACAGATACTGGGCTCCACATAGCTTGAAAGATCCTGGTTTTGGATTCACTGGAATGATCTCTGTTTCCTTTGCTGGTCCCTGGAGGGTCTAAATATGCCATGCTGCTTTGTCCATGGCGCTGACAGGCAGGCTTTGACAAGAGGAAACTGAGACACTCTAAAGGCATCTCCTTCTCCAAGGAACCCGAAGCCTACTCTGTAGGTGAAGAGATGAGGGCCAGGTGCTGTGGCTTGGGAACAGTCCCATCTGAGGTCACCTAGGGTGACCTGAGTGTTAGGAAGAACACACCCCAAGGTATCCACTTACTTTTCATGTGGGTGGCAACAGACAGAAACAAATTTTCCATGGACTTATTAAATCCTTTAAACTGACCAAGTTCCTGTAACTAAAAAGAAACAGGAGCATAAGTTATGTTCAGTGACTTGTGTTTGCCCTCTCATCTCCAGGCTACTGGCCCCAAACACTGCAGGTGGGGGTGGGTGCTCAGGGTGTGTGCGGGTGTGGGTGTATGCATGCATGCCCAGAGGTGCAGGGGACACAACCTCCCAAGAGACAGTTGTCTCTGCACTCGGCGTCTCTCCTCTGTAACCCCACGTCCTCGTTAAAGGAAAAAGCATTATCAGTGAGTCACTCACCAGATAACAACCACCTCTGAGTTTCATTAGCTCACTGTACCCAAGTAAATCACTGCTTGTTTAACCTCCTTTCTCTCATGGCTCTACCCCAACGTCATACGGAAAGGGTGACAACCTGGGCCATATTTAGGTGACCCAGGGTTTGAGGATGGTGCGAGAGTGAGAAGCCTAGAGCTAAGGAGTTCTGCCTCTCGAGAAAAGAGGTGATTATAGAAGAATGGAGAGACAGAGACAGAGACAGAGACAGAGACCAGAAAAGTGATCACTCCTTTCCCAAGTCTCATCTGTCCATCTATCTCTCCTTTATCACCTACCCACCATCACCCACCTCCATCCAATTACCTATCCATCCAACCATCCACTGTTCATCCAGCAGTTCATCCGACCATACATTCAACCATTCATCTGCCCACTGGCCATCTATCTACTGTCCACTCCTCCAATTACCTACCATCCATTATTAATTCAACAGTCTAACATCCATCCAAATCCACCCATCCATCCATCCTCCCACCATTACCATCCATCCAATAAGCAATCCAAGTTGGATCCCTCTGCAGCAAGGCTGTTGGCCCAACTCTCCAGCCTCTGCCCTCCCACCTCCGTCCCCACACAGACAGTTACCCTGCCATGGCTGCCGCTGCACTGGCTCTCACTGAGCGGAGGCGGAGTAGGAGGAACCACGGAGATTGTGCTACCAAAGAGAAACACAGGAATGAGGCAGGTTGCAAACTATGCAAAGCCACTAGTTTTACAAATGCACAGGTGCCATCATTCTATAACTCAAGCTCTCGGGCTTTTTGCTCTTTTTTTTTTTTTTTAACTCTTTTTTCACTGTTGTAGGTCTCGGGCTTTTTAATGGTTTTGACTGCTTTGATTTTTGGAAAAAGATTCAGTAGCCCTGCTGGGATCTGCTGCTCAGAGGGGCATCGCCCTGAGATCTGAGAGATGCCCACAGTCCAGGAATCCACTTCACCACTGCGCTGCAGAACAGCTGAGGAGCAGGAGACCCCAGGCTTCATGTTCAGGGTCCTTTCTGGATTCCAGTGTTCTCTCATGCGAGCCAAAGCAGCAGCAGAAGGGCCACAGTGTAGTGGGTGGAGGAAAAAAACCATGAGAGGAACTAGAGGGTGTGGGCTAAAAGTGGGACCAGTCGGAAGAGGAAAAAATGAAGTTTTGAGACTGAACAAAACCTACCATAAAGCAAAAAAGGAGCAATTTGTCGGAACTCTCAGAAAAACTTGAGTAAGTCCAGAGTACTCGGCTGTGTGGACTGTGGCCAACTGCAAGGTTGTGAGGAGTTACAGTTTGGTGCAAGGAAGTTAACATCTGTCCGACCATTATTCAGCAGTGCCAATGTTTATTTCACAAATATCTCTAAGGTGCCTGGCACTAGGTAAGGTTTAGAGATAGGAGAGATTAATTAAAGCAAATGCTTGATTTAGAATGTCATCAAATGTGCCATTTTGTTACAGCTTCTCAGGAGAATGTGAGAAACAAAGCAGAATGATGAGTGAAAAACACTGACAGCTAGACAGCTCCTCACAACAATCTGGAAACATCTTTGCTTCAGTTTTTTCCAGGTACTTTATCATTATATATATTTAAAACATCGCATTCCAAAATGGTGACCTCTGAAAGTCAAGAGATCACTAAGTTCTTTCAAGGTGTCCTCTGCACTCCTGCCCTCGAGGGCCAGTCTGTCCTTTGTAACACTCACCTCAGCTTCTGATAAGATTGCAGGAGCTTTGCCCCAGCTGTCTCCCGTTTGCCTGGAGGAGAGATCAGTAAAGGTCACTTGGTAATAAGAACACAACGTAGGTAGGGCACATACAGGAAGCAGTAAAATTATAATTATTTTTCTAATATCACCTTTTAAAATCATACCCATTTTTTAATTTATGTATTATGTAATTTATGTATGTTTGAGGAACTGACACATGTATATACCATATCTTGATCATTTACTGCTTGTGATAGAGATCCTGTTGGGGTGACAGAAAGGCTCAAAAGTTATATTTTGGAGGATGGTTGTATTGCTCTCAATTTACTGAAAATCACTGACTCATGTGCCAAAACAGGTGATTTTTATGTTACAGGAATTATACTGTAGCGCACACACACACGAACCATGCAAAGTAAGAGATCATAATAGTTGGAAGTGACTTTTTATTAAAAGTTGGTGTTGAATTAGATTTTCTAAATCTGGATCACTTGAAAAATAGTTCAAGCTTCTAAGCTTCTGTTTGCCATTCAGAAAGATTTCATAATTGAATGGCTCCAAATGTTCCTTGTGATTAAGATTAAATTAATCTCTTTTAAAATGTAATCTACTTACATCTAGTTATAGTGACTAATTTCCCAAACCAGACTGTATCTAATATATTACCCTCTTTGTCTCAAGGAAAGAGACTTTCAGGATGTATTCAGATCCCCTAATGAAATGCTGCATGTCCACAGCTCTACAAAAACAACGCTTCCTGGCCACATGTTCAGGAAGGGCTCTGCCCCGAGGGAAGCCAGGCCTCCAGCTAAGGGAGATTTCCAGAGGCTGTGCTTTGCCCCGGCATGAGCCACCCACACCAGGAGGTTAGACCAGCTCCTAACTTTTCTGTTTGGGACATTTTAATCCATTCCAAAAACGGATTTAGGTATCAGCATCGTTTCTCCAGAGCACACTAACAGAGGGGTGATAAAGTTAGGATGGGCCGGGGCACCTCAGGAGGGCATATCAGACACCCCCGACGTTAAAGCCTTGATAGCAAGCCCCAAACCTCAAAGTGGAGGCACCCTCGAGGCAGGGTCCTCGGCTGCTCTGAGAGCAGGAACCCTACAACGGTATCCGAAGTGGGGGTCTCCTGCCTGTGTGCATCTTCTTGTGTTCAGGGGATCCTGAAAACAGCCTCAGAGCCCCCATCCTCCACGTCAAGAAATACCTCTCTAAAGCAGTACAAAAAGGTATCCAAAGGCCTCCCCCAAAGAGTTAAATTAGTAGAATCAGCTTGCAATGGGTGAAACCAGCACCTGCAAAAGTCCCTGTATGGACTATGTCAGGCTGGAGGCAGACAGCCCGATTTCACTGCATCATGATCAAGATGAAAGCAGAGAAGAACAAGGAGCCAGAAAGCAGGAAACAGTAATGCTGCTCAGCATCAGCCAGTCTGGGGTGAAAACAAGGAATGCAAGAAACAGTCAATTCTGACAATTCTGGGCTGGGTTTTTCACGGGACAGGTCTGTCGCGGCCTTGCCTGGCCCCTCTCCATCTTGCTCCTGGACTGGTGCAACCGCATCCCCTGAGGCACAGACTGCAAAGCACAGGTCCTCCTGAGAAAGGCCGCGATACCATTCTCCTCCCCCAAGGCCGTCAGCGACTCTTACGCCTTCACCTGAAGTCCAGGTCCCATGTGGTGTCGCCGCGCTGCTGGGGCTCCCCCACACCCCGCAGGCCTGGCCCTTGCTTTCTCCACTGCAGCAACTTGCTTCTAACTGCCTACTAACCCCAACGCTGTCCGCATAATCACCGGCGCTTTCCAGCCACTTCTACTTCAGACCCTGACCTCAGACCATCCACCGAAGAACCCCCACTTCTCAGGCCTTCACGTTGACCCCTGCAGGGGCCTTGCTGCAGCTCAGGCCATGCATGGGTCTTTGCTGCCCTCTGCTGGCTACGTAACCTCAGGCTCAGACACTTTCTGTAAAGACCAAACAAGAAGCGTTCTTGTTTGGTCTTTACAGAAGATTCTGCCAACCACAGCATCTCTGCCACTGTTCAACTCATACCTAGAAAAGCAGCATGGGCATATTGAAGAAGGCTGAATTCTGGTCCAACTCTATATATACTGATATATATATTCTCCCCCCCCCCCCCCCAGTAATGGGAGTTGAACCCAGGGCCTTCACACTGAGGTGCATCCCTAGCCCTGGTTTATTTATTTTTTAATTGTTAAGTTGCTCCAGCTCCGGCTCAAATTTGACATTCTCCTGCACTAGCCTCCCAGAGCGCAGGGATTACAGGTCTACACAACCATGCTGGACTCTTCCTTTTTATGCATCACAAATACTAATACTTTTAACCATTTGAAATGTAAAAATCTTCTTAGCTAATGAGACCTATGAAAACGGGCAGAGGCACCAGCCAGCCCACAAGTTCCAGTTTGTCCCAAGCCCTTACCACCCCACGTGTCATGGGTCAGAGGAGCTTATAGGCCACACAGAACCCCAGAATCAGTCCAAATCCCGCTCCACTGTAAGACCCAAGGCAACTGCTTCCAGCGGTTTCAGAAGCGCGGCCCCCACCGCTGTGTCTTGCTGCCCACTGCGAATTCACTTGCTCTCCTCTTCGAATCCTCAGCTCTTCTAGCCAGGGGCCTCCTCCAAAACCAGCAAATTTTTTGTTACCATGCATTAAACTCAAGCACTGTGAGGAAACCAGCACAGAGGAAGAGTGGGCTCTCTGGTGTCCACCTCTCTGCCAGAGCCTGTGCACTAGGGACAAGATCCTATGTAGGAAAACATAACTTGTGGTTCCATGTGTGATTCAAAGAAACTACAGCAAGGTTACCTACGTGGAACTGAGCACATGTGCCCTTCAAAGATGGTTTCTGTCCACCCCTGGGAAGTTAGTCATAAGGGTTTTGTTAGAATGGCACATTTGTGCTATACATGCCAGGAAAAAAATTACAATAAACACAAACGTACTGTGAACAATACCACCTTGAATTGACACCCTTGTGCAGGGTGTACCTAGATAACTAAATGTGACAGTCCTGGCGTTGGCCTGAATATCCCCCAAATATTGGAGAAAGGTGAACAAAATCTGGGGTTGGAGTGAGTGATAAACAATTGCAGTGTGTTAGGGCTTATTTTTTAAATAGGGAAGATGAGGTCCCTAGAACAATAAAGTTTTAAACCAACCTTTAGCTTATGATCAAAATGGGAAAATGTCTCAAAATTTTCGATTTAAAAAAAATTAAATCATATAGGGTTACGCTATCCTATCACAAATGATTTTAGTGCTGGACACACACACTACTATGTGAGCTGACAGATATGTTCAATTGCTTCACTATTGTAATTCTTTTATTATCTGTATGTGTCCCCTAACACCATAAAAATAAGGTTTCGCATCATTTGAAGCTGGAATCCAGAGCCATTTCTAGGAATATGAGTCATTAGAGCAGTTTTGAGCTAAGATAGCACTGGGACCAAGCCACCATCTCAGGATTAAGAAGATAAAGTGCATTGCTATGAATCAGCACCTAATTCCTTCCACAAGGACAGAAATTAATAATGGTAGATTTATCACCTTATGGGCATAAAGTATTTCTCATCTCATGTCCCTCTGCCACCAACATTATTCTTGTACTTGGCTGCAGGAGAAAAAAAACTTTCCCTCTAAGGAAGCTGTCTACATTCCATCTGAGATTCTGGCTGGTTTCTATACTGATAATATTAACCAAAGCTGGACAGTAACTATCCCACTAAGAGCGATATAAGGTTGACAGTAACTGATCTGAGTGTGTTGGCCACCTGTTAACAGTAGAATACGAACTGCTTCTCAGCATGTTAGAATTTTTTCTTTCTTTTTTCATTTTTTAATTTTTTTTTAGAGTTTTTTCTTAAAAGTGAATGTGATTTTTAGGTGTTCTCTATATAGTGTGAATATGAATCTGTTAAACTGAATTCAGTTTGACCTAATGATTTCTTTACTCAGAGTAACTGCAAGCAGTTCCTGAGACTTATCTGAGGAATGCAGGAATAAAGGTACCCTTGACTCTAGAGGTTCCAGTCTTTCTTGAGGCATAGGGAGTTGTAAGTTCCTCTCCAAGGATCTCTGCTCTTACACTGAGCCCTGTTGTTTTCAGCTTTCAAATCCAGGATTAGTTTGTGCTATGAAAGAGGGTATGATCTTTGAAAGTCACAACAGAAACAGGACTTTGTCCTGTAGGGAGGTCTCAATCTGAAAAGAGTCAAACTGAACTAAACTAGGTTCCATATCCAGTTTATATTTATTATAGGTACTTTTTTTTTTTTTTTTGTCTTTTTCATTTTTATCGGTACCGGGGATCAAACTCATGACTGCCTGCTTGCAAGGCAGGTGCTTATGCCGCTGAGCTAAATCCTCAGCCCTATTATAGGTACTTTAGAGTTACAATGGTCACGGTAGGAAATTTTTTTTTTTTTTTGTACCAGGGATCGAACTCATAAATTTCTGCTTGCCAGACAGACACTTGTGCCATTGAGCTAAATCCCCGGCCCAGGAAACTTTAGTTCAAATTAAATTATTTATTTGCAGGGTACATTAGAAAATAAAGGATTAAAAATCTCACAAGAACAACAGGAAACAATTATGTGATTTGGGAAGAAAAAGGATAAAAGGGTGGGGGATGAGGAGCTTTTATTCCTGGGTGGTAGGATGGTCACTCACAGTATGCAGCTGGGCTATGCTGCACTCGGTTTCAAACGTAAAAGTTACCAGTAGAATTTACAAGTGCGGCTACTTCCTGGGAGGTTGTTTCACTAAGTGCATAAGGAAATTCAAACTGATAAGCATCATGAACTCCAGTTAGATTCAACCCAAAAGGTCCTCTCCAAGGCATTTTATTACTAAGCTGTCAAGGCAAAGACAGATGGGGAATTCTAAAAGCAGCAAGAGAAACACGTCAACTCACATATAAGGGAACTGCCACTAGATTAAATGCCACTTCCTCAGCAGAAAGCTTACAGGCCAGCAGAGAATGGTATGATATATTCGGAGTACTGATTGAAAGA